CCTCCGGTGTCCAAGAAAAAACCTTCCCATGCAAACAGTCGGTAATGGGAGCTACAATCGAGCTAAAATGGGAGATAAACCGGCGGTAAAAGGAAGCCAACCCATGGAAGCTACGAGCCTCCGTAAAAGAAGTGAGAGTCGGCCATTCACGAATTGCCGCCACTTTACCCTCATCTACACGTATCCAAATAGACGAAATCACAAAGCCCAGAAACAAGACAGAATTCACCAGAAAGACACACTTACGAGGCGCAGCAAAAAAGGACTCAGAACGTAAAACAACAAGTACCTCGCGAACATGCCGAAGGTGATCCTCCAAAGTCCGACTGTAGATAAGGATATCGTCTAAATAAACGATGACACTCTTGCCAATAAAGTCCCGCAGTGCCTGGTTCATAACTCGCATAAAAGTGCTCGGGGCATTGGATAGGCCGAATGGCATCACCATCCACTCGAATAAGCCCTCGCGAATTTTGAAGGCCGTTTTCCACTCGTCCCCTGGTCGGATACGAATCTGATGGTAGCCACTCCGCAAATCTAACTTGGTGAAGATGAGGCACCATGAAGCTGATCAAGCAAATCATCAAATCGTGGGATAGGAAACCGGTAATGGACCGTAATTTTGTTGATGACCCTGCTATCCACGCACATGCTCCACGAATCGTCCTTCTTGGGGATGAGAAGGGCGGGAACAGCACAAGGGCTCAAACTGCGACGAACGGCCCCTCGCTGAAGCAGTTCCTCGACCTGCCTCCGTAGTTCCGCATGCTCGGCAGGGCTCATACGATAGTGAGGCCGATTTGGTAACGACGCCCTTGGAATAACATCAATGTGATGCTGAATGTCCTGAAGAGGTGGTAACCCAGAAGGGAGCTCATCCGGAAAAACATCAGCAAACTCGGCTAATAGAGGGCGTATCGCCAATGGGGGCTCCACCTCCGTAAGAACATCACTCCCGACCAACAAGAACACCACTGGAGAATCCCGAATTGCCGTCAGAAAAGCCGAATGGGAAAGAAAGAGGACAGACGAAGTTGGAGTCATCGGTGGCAAAGTCCGCGGGGCCGAAGGAAGTAAAGTGATTTTGACTCCGCCGAAAAGAAAGGAATAAGTATTCCGACGACCATCATGAACAGCGGCACGGTCGTATTGCCATGGGCGGCCCAGTAATAAATGACAAGCATCCATGGGGACCACATCACACCAAACTCTATCACGATAGGTATCCCCAATGGAAAAAGAGACCAAGGCCCGTTTGTCCACCGTCACCGCACTACCTCGCTGAATCCACGCCAAAGTGTAAGGTTGTGGATGAGGCTCACACGACAGCCCCAGTTTGTCAATCGCTTCCTGAGAAATAACATTTTCACACGCACCAGAATCAATAATAAAACGACAAATTTTGTTACCCATTGTGCAAGTTGATTCGAAGAGGTGATTCCGCTCATTGTCCATGGGGTCTGAGCCTTTGGGAGCCAAACAAGTTCTGCGAATGACCAAAACCGATCCCAACGTATCCCCGCTCACAAATTTCTCCACGTCACCACCCTCGATATCATAAATCGGCTCACCATCACAACCCTCGGAATTGTCAACGTCCCCCACATCCTCCGTAAATAATGCCTTAGAAACCGCGCCACGGGGACACGCCGATTGCTGGTGGCCCACTTCGCCACACGCGAAGCAACGAAGGTCGGCGAAACC